TACTATTATCTTCTATTATTTCATCAAAATTTTCAACTTCTGTTTTGAGTTTGATTTTATTTACAGTATCATTAATTTTTTCAAGTATTAGAAGATCTTCTGTAATTATTTGTTTTGGAATAATTGTTTGTGAATTTTTAGGATTTTCTGGAATACCATTTACTTTTGGTGAAGTATTTTGTGATGTTAAAGGTGTTTGAATTGGTGTAATAAGTTTATGTGGTGAATCTGATGATACAGATAACCCTATAATGTAAATATTAATACATAAGATAAAGATATTCTACAAGAAGTGTTATAATTACCATCTATGCCTCCAGTTGTAAAATCACCAAATTCATCTTCTTCAGAATCTCCAAAAGTATCTAAAGGAGGAGGTGTAGAACTAACTAGCGGAGGAAATGCCATTCTTCATTGGAATCCTTTTAAAAAAAAATTATTTATATTTGTATTATTTGTAAAAATTACAAATGATTTTTTTAATTTATGTAAAATATTTTTTAATGTAGTAATAATAATAAAATAAAATTTAAAATTCTTTTCTTTATTTCCATTCTCGAAATAAAAAAATTATAAATATTATTTTTTTTTAAATATAATTTAATTTTATTTTATTTTTTTTTAATAAAATTTAAAACTAAAGTATTTTTAAAAAAATATATAAAATTTATGTCTTTATAATGATAATATACATATGTCAAATTTAATTAGGTTAGGTATATGTCATTGACGAATGAGTTTATTAAATAAAATATTTTAAAGAAACATTGATCAAATTTAATTGTATACTTTATTTTATCATAATATTTAGGTCGGAAACAGAATCAATGAATATTTGAATCAAAATTAAAAATATGACTGAATATAGACTTACGAAAAAAATATCAGGTACGTGAAGCACCTTAAGAAATGACTTTATCTGTAGTTCGTCATCATTTCAATTTTATTAAAATCAATCTTTATATGTATGCAATCTTTATCTATATCAATCGTAACTCATTAGAACCGTAAGGTTCTCTCATACGAATCACGAGACATCAGTCGTATCACCTGTTCTGTACGAGTTGCATCTGCGCACCTGTTTGTGCTTGTCATCGCGCCTATTTTTAAAAAAATACAAATTTAGAACATTTTATTATCATAATTTAATAATGTTTTTCATTTTATCTTATGAATTTAATATTCTCATAACCTTAAAATAATAATTTTTTAAAAAAATTCATTATTTATAATTTTTTAATAGTATGATTTTTAATAGTATCATTACCATTATGAAGCTTTTATTTACATTTTATTAACTATAACATAACATCATGTATGAATTATTAATTACAACGAAAAATTACAACAAAATATTTAAATTAAACTATTTAATAATTGTTTTAATTCTTAACCTATTTTGCATCTTGTTTAGCAATATGTTGTGTTCGTCTGTGTTTTCTCATATCTCCTTTCTGTCTGAAACATCTTCCACAAACATCACAAGCATGTGGTTTTTCACCAGTATGAATTTTTATATGATTATTTAAAGCTTCTGTCCTAGTAAATGCTTTTTCACAATAATGACACTTATATCTGCGATCTCCTCTATGTATTAATCTATGTTGATAAAATACAGAACCAGTTAAGAATGCTTTGTTACAAACATCACATTTGAATGGTCGTTCTCTTGTATGTTTTTTTCTAGTATGATCAGCTAGATCTGGCTTTATTGTGAATCTCTGATCACAATATTCACAAGCATAAGGTTTCACACCCATATGGAATCTTTTATGAGTCCACATATGACTGGATTGAGTATAACTTTTACCGCAAATATTACAAACATACCTATACAAGAATAAAAAAATTATAAATTGCAAAATTTAACATAACCTAAAATAAAAAGAATTGTATATACGGTCGTAGCCCACTGTGTCTTCTTTTGTGCGCATTCAAAGAATTTGCTGTTGGTAAAAGACTGCCACAAATATCACATGGGAATTTAGAGCATCTGTATTTTCCATGTTCTTGAAAATCTTCAATACTTATAAAAATACTTCCACAAAGTTCACAAATGAACTTTTCTTTACCTTTTTCTGATTTTCTAGGTACTGGTTGATGTCTTTTTTGTTTATGCTTATAAAGCAAAGATAATTCTTTAACATCTCTATCGCATATTTCACACAAAAACACTACTAGAACTTTGAATATTCTTGGATGTTCTTTCCAATGAAGAACAGCTTCTGCGAAGGATTTGAATATAGAGTTGCAATGATTGCAAGAATATGGTTTCTCAATAACATGTGATTCTCTATGACTTTTTAAATGATCCATATCTGCAAAATGACTGCTGCAAAATTCACAATGATATAGCTTCAATACTTGCATTTCTTCTATAAGACTAATTTTATCTTCATGTTTTTTACAATGCTCATCTGCAGATTCACAACTTCCAAATGTTTCACCACAACAAATGCATCTTAAATTATAAAAAATAAATTATGTTAATGAAGAAAATAATATAATATATATATAATGTATATAATAAATATATATAATAATATAATATATATATAATAACAAATATATACCTCCAAATAGTTTGACTGTTTTCAAAAATAATACTGTGTCCAGCTATATGTTTATTCAATCTTGATTTTTGTGTGAAGCTTTTAGAACATTCTGGACATTTATATGGCTTTTCTGGAAGATGAGTTACTATGTGACGTTTCAAAGTATAGCCATCACAGAATCCTTTAGAACAAACTTCACATACATGTGGTCTTGTTTTTCCATCCACACAAATATGTTTTTTTAATCCTTCTTGATTTTCAAATAATTTTCCACATTGTAAGCAAGATACTCTACCATCTTTACAATGATATCTACAAATAAAATGCAGATAAATAAATTCATAGTCATTAGATTTCTCATGACTATTTTATTTTTAAAGTTAATACCTTTTATAATGATAAAACAATTTTAATTCCTTTCCAAATGTAATTTTGCAAATTTCACAATATAATGCTTTTGCATCTTTATGAAAATGTTGATGAAATTGTAACCGTTCTTCAAATGTAAAAGTTGCAAAACAAATATCACATTTATAAGGCTTAGAAGTACATTGTAAATTAGGTTTGCATTTGTGTTCATCCAAAGTTTCTTTTGTATGATATAAATTCATACAAGCTCCACATTTCAAATATTTTTGTTTAGTACCCAAACAGAATAATGTTATGGATTCATTTTCTGGTTCTTCATCAATTTTAATTTCATTGGGAATTTGTTCCTCATCACTACTCTCAAGAACAATATCACTATCATATAATTCAACATCTTTTTTGGTTTCTTTATCCTCTTCATAAATTCTCATTCGTCCTTCAATGCATAATGGACAAGAATCTATATTTTCCTGAGAATTTTCCTGACAATCATTTTTAGTATTATTGAAAGAATGTTTCTGTTTTAAAATTTCAAAAAGAGTTTCTTCAGCTCTGATACACTGAATATCAAATTCATTACACCAAGTTATCTTTTCAACACAAGTTGGACAAAGTTGTTTTGGAAGAGGATCTGTTTTCTTTACCTATGAAAAAATCATAATGTTCAAGTTATTCAATGTTCATATTTAATAATATTTGTTATTTTAAAAAAATATATATAACAAAAAATTTCAATTAACAAAAAACAAATTTCTTTTACTTATTAAAATATTAACGTAGTTATCGGAATATCGTACTAGTTAAATATTTCTAATTTATTTGTAATTTACTTATAATATATTTATATAATTTTCATTACAAAAAGATTCAACAAATAATTACCTTAATACTTAAACAAGTATTTATTTTATGCAAAAGTCTCAAAGATTCACCGAATTCGGAATAAATATAAATCGGATGTAAAGTTTCTCCCGCGCATAAACGGCATAAAGATTTTAATTGATTTTGTTTTTCAGGATCTGGAGTTAATTCTAAAATTTCATTCGATGAAAGTGGTTCCTCTTGGGACCAAATAATTGATCCTTCAAATTCATCGAGATCATCTTCATGTTCGCTCAACGTACTAATTGACTCCGTTTTTCCACAGTTCATTATTAGATATTTACCAATTCTTTATCTAAAAAGTTAATAACTATTTTTTTTAAATATTAAAAGTTAATGTAAAGTAAATATTAAATAATGAATTAATTTTTATTTAAATTATTTGAAGTATCATATCAAATATGATATAGATTCTATAATAATATTTTTTTTATATAAATGTATATAAAAATTAAAATATTTTTATCATTTATAATTTTTTCTATTTCTTCGTATACCATATAAAAAGTTATTTTTATTTTTCAAATCCTTTTTTTTTTAATAAATTGATCTCTAAATATAATCTTTTAAATATCACATTTTTATAATTAAACAGTTATATTACAATCTTCTAGTTCAAATAAATTTTTGTTATTAAAAATTATTGTTACGCCATAAGATTACTATTAAATAATTAGAAAAAAAAATGATAGTTTCAGTTAGTCTTGTCTTCGCAAGTATAGTGTATTATCGAAAGTATTTCAGAGCAGATTACCTCGTTCCTTGGAAATGAAAAGGGAAGAATTCTTTCATGGCAAACTAAACTTGAGTCTTTGTATCGTCGAAACAATTCGATAGGGAGTCTAATCTTTAGTTTCCGGTAAACACGCTGTCACGACGACCAAAACAAAAGCGAATCTCAAAAAAATTTTTGAGTTTCATAATTATATTTTTAACATTAAAAATTTATTTTTTTCTTCATTTGACATTTCAAATATAAATTTTGTAATAATTTTCAAATTGTTACAAATAAAATGTTATTATATAAAATTTAAAAAATAAAATAACAACAAGAAATGGAATAATGGAAATATATTTTACAATAGTATTGACTACACATAAAAATATGTATCATTTACAAATTATTATAAAACTTATAAAAAAAATATATAAAATTATATGTTTAACTTCTTTGTACAATGAAACAATTTATTATGCAATCTTTTTGTTTTATTACTTAATTTAAAACTTAAGCAATTATTTTTTTGTTAATATTACATATCGCAAGTCGTTTTTTATCCTATGTTCTCTTAATCTTTTGCAATGTCGTAAAACTGTTATTAGATTTAATTTTATTTTATTTAATTTAGACTTCATTTGTTTTTCATAATCTTCACCAGTAAAAAAATATATGTATTCTGAAACATAATTTTTATATTTTTTTAAATAAAATATATGAAATATTTGAATATATGAAAAAAAAAAATCTTACCAGAATCATTACATAAATCTAATTCTTGTTTTTTATAGTGCAAATAAAGATTCAAATCTCCTTGTTTCCTTGCATGAGCTTTTCCCAGTGATAAAAATGTATATTTTGTTTTTAATATGTGATTAATAGTATTTATGAAATCATTTACAGTTTCTAAAGATTGTCTTCCAATAATATACTTTGGAACTTTATTGAACTCATCTTCACTTATCAAAGATATCATAGGACAAACTTCAAGTTCGTTAAATAATATTTTTTTACAGTCTTTCATTGGAGTCTTTTCTTTTTCTACATTTTTATTTCTTATTATTATAGGTGATTTCTGTATAAATTCTTTCTTGCACATAGTTTTCATTGATAAAGAATTTTCAATTTTATTATAATCACGAATTAATTCATGTGGAATATTTTTTTCCATATGAATAATTCTCTTATCCAAAGTTTCAATGAATGACAATAATTCCTAAAATTTTCAGTTTTCTCATTAAAATTTAATTGATTTTGATTTTTAGAAACAATAATATTTTGAAAAATATTTATTAAAGAATATATTATGTTATATTTATAAATTAAGAAACATACTCTACATTGATTATTTTGTTTTTTCATATCAACTAATTTTTTCCTTATCTGTTCAATACCATTATACATTTGTGAAAGTACTATACGCATTTTAAGGAATTCTTCTTTAATTGCATTTTTACCTGAATATAAAAAATTATATAGATAAAAAATTATATTTTTTAATAGAATGCTATTGTTTTGATAAAATAATTTAAAAATTAAAATGTAATCTTACTTTTAATAAATATTGTCGCAGTTTTAAGATCTTGTAATTTTTCACACTGTTTTTCTAAAATATCTTCCAGTGAGGTTGTCATTTTCAAATAATTATCGTTTTCAAATAATCGATAAGTTAAAACAATGTGAAAAAATTTATAAATTAATATCGTGTCACATTTATGCTATTCTGTCTTATGATAAATAAATATTGAAAAACAATTACTTATAGAATAAATTAAAAAAAATGAAAAATGGTATATCTAACTTACACAGCATTACAAATAACGGTTATTCCTGGCGCCGTTTGTAAACTTTGAATTTAATTCATTCAGTATCGTTTACAAATGGCGTTCTCATCAATAAGTTTTAAATAAAACAAATAAAGCCGCGTTTGAAGAAAAGAATCTTACTAATTAAACTGATTAAAATAATTTTAATTAATAAAATAAATTAAAATAATTTTTAATTAATCATTATGACATATTTATATAAAATTATTATAAAGTATTTAAAAAATGTAAAAACTATTACATATAGTTTATTAACTATTATATAGTTTTTATTATATAAAATTGTTATTATATAAAATAGTTTATATTATATAAAATTATAAATTATATATATTTAAAATACTATATAAACTATTGTATGTATAAAAAGAACAACAAATAATAAAAGAAAGATAGAAATAAGGTAAAAATTATGTTATTTCTTGAGTATTTTTAGAGACTATTCAAAAAATGCCATTATTCAATTCTTACTTTATTTCTATTCTCTTCTTTTTTTGTTCTTTTTGTTTTTATATTTAAATTTATTATATTTTAGAAAAAATGTCTAATTTTTAAATTATTTCTATTTTATATTTATTGTTTTTATCTATATTTATTTTAACCAAGGTAAATTGAATGTACTTTCATCATTTCCCTTTCAAAATTATAATATATTTTAATTTTTAATTATTTTTCTAAAAATTCGGCTTTACAATCTATCTTTAAGAGAAACATATTTATATAAATTATTTCGTAATAAGTTTTATAAATATAATCATATATAAAATACAGTACTTCGTATATGTCTATAAAATATAATAGAATATTTATTCTATTTCTTATTTATAATTATTTTTTATTTTTTATTTTTAATTTTATATTGAAATCTAATTTTAATTTCAATCATTACTTTTACTACGATTTTATTCTGAACAAATCGATAACGTTGAAAATAACGGCAAAATATTAAAAAGAATCCTGCATGGATTAGAAAATATATTAAATGCTAAGTCTATATTATATCTATGGTATCTATGGTAGATCTAAAAATATAAATAAGATATCTGCGTACATGTTGTACTTTTGATTTGCATAATAGATAATTCAGAATAAAAATAGCATAAAATCTAATGAAACAGTAGTTTATTTTAAATTTTGTCTATGGTAGTAGACAATGAATGATTAGTATAATATTTTTCATGTTTTCATTGTGTTTCGTTATCACGAATCACAAATTGTTTGAAATATTTAATGGCTGCCAACTCATCAATATATTGATAGTTTATCATTTATATTAAGTATTGCTATAAATTTTTATTAAAATTAGTTAATATAGTTTTATGAAAAATGCGAACTGTAATATTCATTTTCGCGATGTTACTCGCGTATGTACATAGTATACGATTTTATCTTGAACCGAATTCAATGAAATGTTTAAAAGAAGAAGTTCAAGCAAATGTCTTACTTGCTGGAGAATATGAAGTTTCTTTAGCACCAGCTGTTAAAACTGAATATGTTGTAAGTTTCATCAATTTTTTATAATATTTATGTTTATGAAACGAATTAAATATAATCTATTAATATTAAGATTAGATTAAGTTAACTTTTCACATATGTTATTTTATTTTGTTATTTTACTTTTATTTAAAATAAAATTTTCAACTTTTTAATAAATTTTATTAATAAATTATAATGAGAATTACTAATATTTATATATTATATTATATTATTTATATTTATACCAATATTTATATATTATATATATATATATATATATCATCATATATTAATTATCTTTTTGTATTTAATTTAATAGGTAAAAGATTCAAAAGGAGATATTCTTTCAAAAAAGGATGATATTCCTCATGGAAAAATATTGAAATTTTCATTTGTCACAGAAACTTATGATACATTTGAGATTTGTTTTATGGCACATTCCATACAACCATCTTTTTCAGGCAGTATGCACTATAAACAAAATTATATTTATTTAATAATTAGATAAAATTTTTATTAATTAAAAAATGTTTTTTAGATATTAAACAAATTAAACAAGAAATTTATTTAATCACAAAACGTGGAATCGAAGCAAAAAATTATGAAGGAGTAAGTTCTTTAAATTTGATTTAAATAAAAATGATTTTATTTATATATTTTAAATTTCAAATCATTAACAAATTTAATTTTTAAATAATTTTTATATTTTAAATTCATAATTTTTATCTATCAAATTTGTTTCAATTTTAATAAAATATTTATTGAATGTTAATAAAAATTGATAATTTTTAATCTTATTACAAAAATATTAAATTTTTTAAAATAATTTAGAATATAATAAAAAATATTTATTAATATTATAATTTAATAATTATTAATAATTAATAAAAAAGTTATGTTTTTTCTTTCATTTTTTAATCTATTTTATAGATTATGAATATCTATTTTGTTAAATTGATTTCAAAGTAATCTCACAATATTTTATGTTTTTTGTTTTATAAATATGTTATATTAATACAATTGGTAGTAAGAGTGGTTTTATTATGGCTTGTAATAACACAAATTTTAAAAGAATGTTTAAATATATGAATTAATAGTTTAAAAAATTATAAGAATAAAAAATTCATACATTTAAAAATTATTTTATATACATAAATAAAAGTTGCATATGTAATATTTATAATAAATATATTAACATGAAAGATGAATTTTTTGCAATTAATAACATAATCAATATATAATTTTCTATATATTAATATATAATTCTTTTATAATAAAATGATTTCAATTAATGATTTCAATTTCTAAATTTTAAAATAATAATAATATTATCAACTACATATTTTTATTTAAGATTGGTGAAGCAGCAAAACTTAAACCTTCTGAAGTTGAATTGAAACGTCTTGAAGACTTATCTGAAGCTATTGTCCAAGATTTTGCTCGAATGCGAAAAAATGAGGAAGAAATGAGAGATACAAATGGTAATTGAAAATTATAAAAATTAAATAATAAATATGAAATATAATTTATATAAAAATAAATAAATTTTATTATTAAATAATTAATTGATTTTTGTTCAATTTTCAGAGGCAACAAATACTCGAGTATTGTATTTTAGTATATTCTCCATGTGTTGGCTTCTAGGGCTCTCAATTTGGCAAGTTCTTTACTTAAGGCGCTTTTTTAAAGCAAAAAAGCTTATTGAATAATTAGAAAAAGAAAATAATGAAAGTTATCAAAATTCTTACAATATTTACATCAAACTAGATTTTATTTATTCTTTTTTTTTTTATTTCTTTCTTTCGTAAATATAATAAAAAATTCAATATCATTAAAATTGTAGGAAAATTGATTGATTTAAATTTTGTATACTCAAATTAAAAAATAAATAAGATTATACTTATATGTAGTAATTAATTTACTAAATTTTTATTCCTTTAGCATATCATTAAGTTTATTAAATTTCTATATTAATTATTTCCTTCTTTCAAAAAAAAATCTTTTAAAAAAATAATTATAGGTTAATTTATTTAAATGTTATCAAAATATAAAAATTCATTCCATATTTTGTATATAAAATCATAAAAAATAATTTTTCATAATTTTCATTATCTAAATATAAAAAATAATAGTCTATCTTCTAATGTACTATTTCAAAATTTTATATGAAAAATCGAGTTCGATTTATTTCGATCTATTATGAACGAAAATGTCAGTTTAAACATAACCTATATAAAATTAGGCTTATTCTTTTGAAGAAGTTTCATCATATATATTTTAATATTTTATTGTATAATTATAAAGTGAAAAATGCAAGAAATATCTACAGTGAGAAATATAATTAACAATCGAAATCGTGATTGTTTAGGTTGTAGAATTTTCAGTGGTTGTGGTCTTATTGGTTCTGGTTTATATGTTGCGTATCATTCAAAAAAATTTCAGAAAAAGATTGGAAAAACCATTATGTACTCAATTGGAAGCGGTAATGTATTATTTTTTTTCTACTTTTATATATAAATTTATACTTTTTTAACGTAGATTTTTTTGAAATATTAATATTCTATTTCTATACACTATTAATAAATTTTAAAATATTTAAAATATTTTTAAAATATTATTATTAAAAATCATTTAATGAACTAGAAATAATATTATTTATTATATGTTTATTTTAACTTTATTAATTTTTAATTTTATTATTTTAAATTTCATATAATAATTTAATAATAAATTGTTTTAAATACTTGAAATTTTAAGGTTAAAAGTTTGTGTGCGAAAATATACTTTTATAATTTATTAATATTAAACATAATTTTACTTTATTTAAATTTATTCATTTTTTTACAAAATTTTTACAGCTTTAATGCTCCTTGGTACTGCTCGAATTTTGGATCTTCCTCCATTTCGCAAACAATTTAACCAAGGATGATTATAAACAAATACTTATTCAATTTTCGTTTCTTATATAAATGTTTTAATATCTTTTTCTTATCTGTTTTGATATTTTTATTATAACTGCAAAATATAAATCTACAACTGTAGTTTAAACAATTTTAAATATTTATTAAATCCATATAGTTATTTTAAAAAAATTGCATTTATTTTCGTATTTTTATATAAAATATAATACATTTAATTTAATGTATTTATTTATAAACTAAAAAATTATAAACTATTATAAATATATACTATTTATTTATAAATTAATAAAAGTCAATAAAAGTCAATATAATGAATCAATGCAATTTCTATTATAAATAACACATAAACAATCGATTTATTATCATTATAAATTATATTTTGATTCAGAATTTGATTATAATTATTATACAAATTGTTAAAATTTTATCGAAAATTTATATCAGAAACTATTTAACCAATCATGTTATTACTAAGAAAATTTTTGTACATAATTGTCAATATTACCTAAATTATATTATTGATTACAAGATATAGAAATTTCTACATAAAAGAAATAAAATATGTATAGAAATTATTCATTGAATTGAATTTTCTTATTATTTTAATAAAAAGCGTTGATATTTATTTAAAAACTAAAATCTTTTCTTTTTCAACATATATATCTTTTATATTCCATGTATACATTATACATATGTTCTGCATATATATTTTATATATTCTTTAATATTTATTTACATTCTATTGTAATATAATTTTGGAAAATGCATCGATATCTATATACCAGTCATATTTATTGTTAGCTTGGTTTATTATTAATATTTACACATCAATAATCGGTGTTTGTTCACTGGCGACTGACGGCTTAGAAGGCTTGGTAATCCCATTGTCGCCAAATGACAAACAAAAACTGTCACTCTAATAAATATGTTGCATCCGATGGACTATTGTTACGGGCGATAAGGAATAAATATTCCTACAAGATGCATCAGACTTATTTGCACATTGACAAATATTGATAAATATTGTTTGGACTTAAAAAATAAATCTAAAGGATCAAAATTTCGAAACTTCAATACTATAGTAAATTTCGATAATAAAATAAATATATTGAAATATAATAACATATAATCATTTAATCTTCAATTAGTAAATACTAGAATTGTTATTTAATTCCAATTAATAAATAATAATAAGGTTTTAAAATTATAAACGATCTTTTTTGTATAAAAACAAAAATTTTTTTATTTTTTAGTAATAAAATTTTTTTCGTTGAATATTATACATTTTATATCATATATTATTCGGTGGTATTTATATTTAAAAATATATATATATATTATAAAATATGGAAAATCATCTAAAAAAATTATAATTTGTACAATAGACTAGCTTTGAAATATTCAATTATTGATACTGCACATCCTGCATCAGAGAAAATAATAAATATAATACGTTAAATTATATCGTAATTATAAAAAAATTTGGGAAAAAATTAAAAAAAAAACTTACATATTTCATATATGATAGAAAAATATCATAAATCATTGTCATAAAATTAGTATATAATACTCTATAACGAAGCGGTATGAAGAAAAAATTTACACATTGTGTTGGAGGCCAAAAACAGCAATCAACCTGAACATAAGTAGAATGAAAGGAAAACTATAATTACATATTTAAATATATTACTAGAAAGAGTAATAATAGTTCGAGAAAACTAAATATATACCTTCCACGTGTCGTATAATTTCACTTTCATCTCTTCATGAATCTCTTTCATATTGTGATGTTCTAAAAAGCCAAGACCAATAAAAAATATTCCTAGACAAATTGGGCTGGCAATAATTTGATCTAGACAAGTTTTTTTAATAACGGATACAGCATTTTTTCCGGGCAATACCTTTTCTAAAATCATATAGAACCAGTGATGAAAGGGACCTTGAAATAGGCCTACAATCATCATATTTTTAGTTCGCACATAATCGTGCATATAAATATCAGAAATCTTTAAATTATGAAACTTTTGTTCTATATCTGGAGATGCTGCCATTACATAAGTTCCATTTGGTAAATATTTATATTTTTTTAAGTATTCATTACGTTGTTGAATAATATCTGCTATTGCCATCATTAAACCACAGCTCACAGTATTTGTGACTAGAAGATATTTACCTATAATTTTTATATCTTTATTTGAATTATTTAATTATCAATTCAATTTGAATTTAATTTAATTATTAGCATCAATTTAAAGAAATTTTGAATTAATTTTAATATATCAACTATTTATAACGCTTACCAAATAATTTTCTCCAAACAGTCATTGAGTTTAAAATCTATTAAGTTTTTAATAGATAAGTAATTATTTCTTATTATTAATTTATAATTTTTCAAATATATGTTTTTTATCTTAAGAATGTTTTCTTTCTGTTTTATTTAAAATAATTTTGCTAAATTTTTACTCGTTTTTTGTGAAGATAAAATTGTGATTTGAACATGATATAATAATATACCGTTTGAATTAATTAAAGAGCAAGTATATTTTATATAGATATTAAAAACAGATATAAATTATCACTTTGCAATATAAATCTACGCGTTACTGAATATAAATTTGCGAAACTGTAGTTTTTATAAGACAGAATGTAATCGAAAGTTGTGCCGCGTTTGCGCAGTAAGTAACGCCCCCACCATTCACTTTTTACTTATTTAAACATTTTTTTGATTTTTGTTTGCTAAAAATATAAATAATATAAATGATCTGTTACTTAATCACAATGAGATTCGCTAATTCATGATCAGATTCTCATAAAAATATTACTTTTAATAGTATTTTACTTTAAAAAAAACTTAATTTAAAACATATAATAGGCATTCAGACTTTTTAAGTTATTTATTAAATGTCAAATTTTTATAGATATATAATACAATAATAAAAATTAAAATTATTTAGTTTGAACTGATTTAGGTTTTGGCAAACCTTCCCTAAATCCATTTCTGAAAAAAATAATATAAAAAATGATAAAAAAAATTTTGATTGTTTATTTGAAAATCAATATTTAATTTTTCTGTTATTTATTATAAGCTTATATTTAAACTTACTTGAATTTACGACGTACAATTTTTAAGTAACGCATACGACCAGTTCCAGTAGTCTTTCTTCTCTTAGCTTTTACAGACCAATTATCTAAAATTGATATAATATGATTAACTATTTATTCAGAAATTTATGATTAATATTTTTAGAATTATATTTTATATTAAATATATATTGAGCTCAAAAATAAAAGTCAATTCTTTATTTTACTCTTTTATCTGTGAAAAATAATTTTAAAAAATAGTTTTGGAAAATATAGTTTCAAAAATCTTACACGATCGCATTTTCTTCTGAGGATATCCACATTGAGCACATTGTGATTTTTGAATATGATATGAACTGCGACCACATCGTCTACACAAAGTATGTGTTTTATTTCGTCGCTTACCAAAACTCGATGTACCCTTCGTCTGTAAATATTAATTTAATTTAAAATTATAAACTTTTTAATTATAATATTAGATATTATTAAAATATTATCTTAAAATTTGAAACTCTAATTTTATAAACATTCAAAAAAGAATATAAATAATATACTAAATTATTATATTAGAAACTTACATATAATTATAATTTTGATAACTTTATTAAAAATATTGATTTTAATAAATAAGCAATTTTTAAGTCGAAATATGATTATAAACCTATTATTTAATCTCAGAAATGTTATATAACCTCAATTGTCATTTCATATTAATAATGCATTTATTTCAAATATTTATAGCAAAACTATAATTTTAAATTATTTTTACATATAATAAAAAAAAGTTTTAAGTATTTTTCAAATAAATAACTTTTATGATTGCTTTATAATATTTAGATTTTAAAATATTAGAATGCGCTTACCATTTTGCACGAAGAAACAACTTAAAAGAGATGGTTAGTTGTTCCAAAACCTTATGTTCCTTCGTCTATATTAATGAAAATAGAGGTTCTCATTCCAAACATAATTCTTAACAATATAAAAATTGTTTTTTGTTTTATATAATTATATTATAAAAATGCGTATATTTATATTATTTTACTTTTATTTCGAAATAGCATAATTTTAATTATAACTTTTGCAAATTCTTATAAAAACAAATTAATTCATACTAAAGTGAACAATATATTTAATAACATATTTAATATTTATAAATAATTAAATTACTATTAGATCATTTGAATCAGTAAGCACTTCATGAGAATATTGACTACCAGATGTTACAACATGCATAGGACCAATTATACAATCTTTCAATTCTGTGCCCTCTTCAATAAAACAACCTTTACACAATATGCAATTATGTATTATGCATCTGTAAAAGAATATTTATAAATAGCATATAATTATTATAAATTAATTATAAATTAATTATAAATTAATTTATTATAATTTATTATTTTATTTTATTATTTTATTATAATTATAATTAATCATAAATTAATTTATAATTAAAAGTATAAATAGAATTAAATTATTTAAATAATACCGTTGCCTGACTGTTACAGCTTCCATTAAAATACTTTGAGATATTCTAGTTTTTGATTCAATAGTTACGTTTTGTCCAATATGAGTATTTTTAATAGATGTTTTATCATCGATAAATGAATTATTATGTACACGACAATCTTGTATTTGTGAACTGCGTATTATTGCTGTAGTTGCAATATTTGGTAATGATTGTCCATCATTATCCTCATTCCACCATTCTGATATCTATAATATTAATTTTAATAATTAATGAAATATTTAAATTATATATTTATATATAAAATAAATTGTTATTAATTTTACCTTAGTATTAGCAAGATGATACATTTGTATAGTATTTGTTCTCAAACCAAATTTTCCATTACCAATATAAGCATAACATCGTATTATATCTCCATGATATGCATCTTCTAAATCAGTATTATGATCATTGAATGCTGACATTTTTCTAATTAATTCATCAAGTGGTTTTTCAATTGCAAAACGATAAACATCTTCCTTTAAATTCATACGTACTATAGAAGTATTTTTATCATCTAGACATTGTTTGGGAGGTTTCGAAAATTGCTTGCTAACGATATATGGAAGAAGTTCTCCTTTTAATGTAGTAAAATTTCTAAAAAAAAAAAAAAAAATAATTCATTATGAAAATTAAGAAATTATATTATTAAAATCTTTTCTAATTCTATTTAGTTCTACTAACTTATTGTGTACAAGAAAATCTAAAACCCATTTATTAATAACATATAAATGGGAATCCATTAATTTTGAATGCATAGTAAAACTTGGATGCTTTTTGAGTAATGTTTGTGTAATTTTTATTGTTTCTTCGAAGTCTGATGCTGATGCTAAGAAAATTAAACGGCCAGTTTCATTACAAATACCAATTAAATCAGTTTCAGGCTTTTGTTTGTTTTTTGGACCTGGAGTTATAAAATCATCTGGTATTTTAGGAACAGGCAACATTAATGCTGTAATACTAGCATTATGTTTTCTATAAAGATTTAAAATTTCACATATATCAATATTAGTGATTAAATCACAAGAAATCACTATAAAATCTGTATGAATTTTTTCATGAATAAGTCTAATAGAATCTGCTGTTCCCATATCTTCTGCATTTTTGACAATAACAATATCTGTTTTAATTTTAAGATTTAAATCACATAATGTTAATGAGATATTGTGCTCCATATTTTCAGATATAATAACAATAGCTTCTTTAAAACCAGCCCGTTCCAATAATTGAAGAGGATACCAAATCATTGGTATATTTCCAATTGGTAATAAACATTTATATTGACCTCGAGTAAGTTCAGTCATACGAGATCCTCCTCCTGCAGCAAGCACAATTGCTTGAAATTCTTTATAAGGGAACATTCTTCACCTATTACAAAACACATGTAATAATAATTATGAAATAATAATAATTAAAGTATGAAAAGAAAAATTATTTATACATCAAAATTAAATAATGTTTATTTTAATAGTTTTATAAACATAATAAAAAAATATAATAAAAAAAAAAGAGAATAAAATTTTTATTATTTTCTTCTTAACATTACATTAATAACCTCTAGTAACAGGTAATACGCGTGTGCCTTCAATATCGTGTTGATTAACACTTATGCGTTTAGGTTAGATCAAGTCGTATCTCAAATTTATTTGTAACTGTATTATAAAATAGAAATTGTAAAATTTCATCAAAGTAAAATATTATAAACGTATTATAGAAAATTTAAACAAATTTAATTTGAGAACGCTCGAAGTTATATTGTTTTTTAACTAAGAAGAATTATCAAATTCATAAAAGAGAAAATTAATAAATATGTGTGAAAACGAAGATAATATAATTACAATAGGAAAATATGTAATAGTAAAAAAATTAAATTTCAAAAAAATTTATAAAGTAACTATTGATGGTACTTTAATATTGGGAAAAGATTTAGTACAAATGCATGAAATTATTGGAAAACGTTTTTGGACCACTTTTGAAATGATACCAATGAAAGACAAGAAACGAACATATTTTTTAAAAGAGGTATTAGAAACAGAATCATTAAATGATTTATTAAATGAACTACCAAGTGGTACTGATAATCGTTCTATAGTTGATGATGGTAAGTCGCAAAAACTTTCTAAAGAAGAAATATTTCAACTTCAAGAATCTGGTAAGAGTAGTAAAGAAATAGTAAGCAGCCTGATTGAGAATAATAAGTCTTTCTTAGATAGAACAGAATATTCTCAGGAAAAATATTTGAAAAAAAAAGAAAAGAAATATTTTAGATATATAACAATATGGAAACCAAATATAAGTTCATTGCATGATATATATTTTAAGCTAGATCATAATAAAATTGGAAATTTAAGAATGGATTCTTTATCGCAATTATTGTCATACAGTGATGTTCAATCAGATGGATTATATATATTATATGATAGTGGATCACATGGCTTGCCAGCTGCTGCAATGTTAAATAGAATAGGTTCAAATACAAAAGGATATTTGATCAATTTGCATCCTGGAAATGTTCCTCAAACTGCTCTTGTTCATGCCATGAATTTTTCTACGGAACAATCAACGAGATTAATTAATGTTAATATTTACAGTTTTTTAAGACTATATTATCAAGGTGAAAATGCTGTTTTAAATAACATTTCAAAAAAATGTAATTTAAAACATAATGATTTGTCAAATAAAATAAAAAAAGATGAAAATAAAAATAATAATGAAAATCACATAAATAATAAAATTTCGCGAATAAAAGAAGAAAATATTAAAGAGCGAAATTTGGATAATATTAATGAATCAAATGAAACAGTCAATCATAGTATAGATAATAATTTAAAACGCAAATTAAATGAATGTAATGAATGTAAATTTGCAGAAGTAACGCCTGCAAAAAAACCAAAGTGGTTATTGGAAACGCAACGTGCAGTAGATCTTGTTACAAATTCTAAAGCTCGGGGATTAGCTATTGTTGCTAAAGAACATCCTTTAAATATCATTATTGCTCTTCTACCATTTTTAGGAGCATCTAGACCATTTGTAATTTATCATATGTATCGAGAATCATTACAAGAGACTTATATGATGTTAAAACAAAAACAAAATGTTATTAATCTGAGACTTTTTTCCAATTTCTTACGTTCGTATCAAGTATTACCTGATCGAACACATCCTGATATTTTAAGTAGTGATACAGGAGGTTATTTATTAACAGGTTATTTAGTTCAATAAAAAATAATATTGAATATAAAATTTTATATATTTAAAAATCGAATTCATCTTAATAAAATTTATGCGATAAATATAACGATATACTTTTTATAAATGCTTTAGATTTAAATTAATTTTTGGAAAAATAAAGAAATATTATTTAATATTTTATGTGTGATTTATAATTATAACACATTCAATATTTTCTTTAATTTTATTAAAAATTTATTTTTATATTTAAAATTTTTTATAATAATAATAAGTATAATTTTTATATCTATTACTTAGTTAATAGATTTTAACAGCTGATTTCCCTTGTTAAGAAAGTTAGGTTTTTCTATATCGACTAGTTCTGCCGATTTTTTTTATGAATTTCATTCAAATTTTACTATAAAAGAAAATCACAAATTTTAAAAGAAATGGTTAAATAATATATTTTATTAAAAATTTAAAAATAAGTATTTGAAAGAATGACGGAGTATCAAATTTTAATATATATAAAGATAGTATTTGAAAGGTTAAGAATGTGAATAAAAACGCATTTACCAAATATGGATTCTGTGACACTTTTGCCATTAAAATCTTCATCGAAAAGTTTATTTATGATGATTAGAAAAAAATTTCACATAAAATTAAATATTCCAATTTTGTTAATGATATTGTTGATTGTTTTCTTATGTGTACATTATTTACCTTCTACAAAGTGTTCTTCTAATGAACAAGAAATAAAAAACAAAATAAAAATTAGATTTATAATACTTATACTTTCTAGTCCTGATAACTTAGAACGAAGAGCAACTATTAGAAAGACATGGTTGGCACAAAAACAAGCTTCAGTCAAACATTTTTTTGTAATAGGAACTTTAGATACATTGCCAGAGCAAAAAGAAACTTTACATTCTGAAAAACAAAAATTTAATGATTTACTTTTATTATCAAGATTACCAGATTCATATGGAACTTTAACAAAGAAAGTTTTATATGCATTCAAAGAAATTTATGAATATTATGAATTTGATTTTTTAATGAAATGTGATGATGATACATTTGTTTTGGTACATAAAATTTTAAGAGAGCTAGATAAATGGGATAACAAAGGAACAAAAAAAGAATTATATTGGGGTTTTTTTAATGGAAAAGCACAAGTCAAAAGAAGTGGACCATGGAAAGAAATAGAATGGATATTATGTGATTATTATCTTCCTTATGCACTTGGAGGAGGATATATTTTATCTTATAATTTGGTAAAATTTATTGCAATAAATGCAGATATTTTCAAGTAAGATTTTGAAAATATAAAATTGAATTGGTATTAAAATATTATATAATGTTTTCTATTATTGAATATATTTTTAGATTATACAAAGCAGAAGATGTATCTATTGGAGTTTGGATAGCACCTTTGGCAAATATTGAAAGAAAACATGATGTACGATTTGATACAGAATATAGATCACGTGGATGTTCTAATCAATATATAGTTATGCATAAACAGACTATTGAAAACATGAAAAATATGTATGAATATTATCAAGCATCTGGAGCATTATGTATAAAAGAAATAAGAAATCGTATGAGTTATCAATATAATTGGACAGTTCCACCCAGTCAATGTTGCAATTTACAATCTGGCATTCCATAGTAATTAAAATTCTCTTTTTCTTTTTTTTTATATACATTTGATCTTCTAGTCATTATTTCATTTTATATATTTATATTTAACCAACTAAATATGTTGGTAAATACTTATAAATATTTTATTTATAATAACTATGATTATAATAATGTAATCTAAATAATAGTATGCTTTATAGTTTTTATAGTTAAAGAATGAATAATAATAAACATATGAAATACTTTGAATATAACATTATTATATTAAAATATGTTATTTCTTAATACTTATCTTTTATAATATATAAATTAAATATATTTATAATTATTTTTTATATATATGTTTGAAATAGAATTAAAAATAGAAATAAAAATTAAAAATCTTATTTTTGTAAATTAAATATATTTTTTTCATTATATATGTATAGTATACATACATACATGTGTATATATGATATATATACATAGAAAAAAATTTACTCTATATATATATCATTTACATTTATAAAATATAAAAACAATATTTTTTTTATTTTAATACAATAATTATGTAGAATAAGATATTATATTTCAATTGAGCAAATCACAGATATTCAAAAATGACCAATTTATAATAAATTACTACTTTTATATCTAAAAGAAATAATAGAAAGACAATAATAGTCATGGTCGATTTTCTCCTCTGTGATAAGCTATTAATTTACTGCATTTTCATTACATCTTATATTGCTGACATAAATATTATTAAATATAATATTTAATTATTTTTAATAAAAACTATAATAAATGTAAATTACTTTTAAAATAAAATACTTAATTTTTTTTTCCTTTTCAAAAAGAAGTAGGTATTTTAAGAATAATTTTTCCTAGCAATATTAGCTGTAATGTAAATCCAATTTATTAATGTACTTTTTTTATATACATATATATATATATATATATATATATATATATTATATGAATAATATACAATCAGTCACAATGATATTCATACATCTTGTGAAATTTAATTTACTAATAAATTATATCATCAAAATCAATAATAATAATAATGTTTTATATGAAATATTATATATATATAGATAATGGATTATATATGGAACAATTTTTTTATTAATAGAATATTATTTTGAAGAAATAAAATCAATCCTTAAAGTTTCAATATTTTTTGTTTTTTAAATATAATTTTATAATATGAGATTACAGAATATTAAACTATAAAATATTTAAGTTTTGCTTTATTAAAGATTTTCAATTGAAATTGTGTGTATAAAACAAGTAAAAATAATAAAAATTTGAAGATTGTTTTCATACATTCAAGAAAATTTTCTGAAAAATAAATTACTCTACATGTAACCTATTATGCTCTATATACATAAAAATTTTTATTAAAATCAGATTTTTTAAAATACTAAAATACTAAATTTCTTACTGAATATTTTTGTGACTGATTTTATATATATTTTTTTTTTTTTTTTACAAATTTCCTATTTGTTTATCTTTATACAAATTAATTCATTTTCATGTTAAACCATGAAAAATATTGTATTATAATTTTAGAAATAATCCATGATTTTTTTTTTTTTATTTTAAAATAAATTAATATTATTTCATTTCAGAAGAAGAACTTACTTCTTTTTTCTATCTTGTGTACATTTTGGACAATACCATTTTCCTTTAGGTTTTGTAGTTAATCCAACACATGCAAAATGGAACCACTCTATAGGACACTATATTAACATAATATATATATAAAGAGAATATTAAAAATTACAGATATTTAAACAAATTTACAATAAATAATATTCACTTACATCTGGATTATCACAACCTATCATTTCCCCATAAGAAACTTGATGACATAGGCAATAAGTTGGTTCATTAGGATCAACTGGCATATCTAAAACATCTGCTGGATGACCAAGTGCAGTAGAATCTACTTGAGCACCACTTCCTACAGCTCCAGCTGATGAAGCAGAAGCAACAGATCCTCCTAAAAATATATATTTAATATAAATAATTTCTTTTAAAAACATAAATGAATTAAAAAACATAATAGTAATTAATTTCACCTTTTTTCTGTTTTTTTCTAGCTGTTTTTGATTCGTCTTCACTGTTAGTACCTGCACCTTTCTTTCGTTTTTCTTTTTCTTTCAATTTTTTTCTACCCTTTTTACTAGCATTATTCTCTTCTTGTGCTCTACTACTATTTAAAGCTTTATCTTGTATTTCAGCTTCAAATCTAGCCAAATCAGAATCTAATCTCCTAATATGTTTATCAACTAATTCATATGTTTGTATTGCTAATTGTACTTTATCATCACCATATTCCTTTGCCTTATTAAATAAGTTTTGAATATGAGTCAATTGTTCCTTTTTCTTTTCTGGAGATTCTTTCTTTACATTTTTTAAATAATCATCTGCTAATTTATCTATATCTTTCATTAATCCTTGTGCTCTAGCATCAAGGTCTCGCATTAAAGTGAAATTTCTTTGTAATTCAATAGGTAGATGTTCCAAACCTGGTAAAATGAAATTAGATTAGCACAAAATATTTTATAAATAGAATTAGAATTAGAATGGTATTACCGAATGTTGAGTCTTTCATTATTATTGTATTTATTAAATAATATAATTTGAATTAATTCTACATTTAATATAAATGTAAAAAAATATAGTTTCCTTTATATTTTTTAACAAGAAAAATTGAATACTTACTGTCCAAATAATGTTCTAGATACAGTGCTGTTGTCATGTTTATTGTCACTTAAAGAAAAATGTAAGAAGATTTTATATTTTATATATTAATATTATTTTAATAATATTAATAATTGCAATAATTTTTTGCATAAAGATTTAAAAATGATATTATTAAAAAAATATGTTAATCTTCTTGAAAAGAAACGATCAATGATTATAAGATGCAAAGCAATATATATTACTGACATGGTTACCAACTATACATTATCATTGTTTTAATTTCCTGGCGGAAAACTGTAATTTCTCTAATATTCAATAATTTCATAGAAATTATATAAATAACTAGAAGTATACCTTATAACTAATATTAAAATGTGATTTTATATGATAGTAAAAAATATTCTTAGATCTTTTCTATTATAATTCTATTATAATATTATATTTCATAAATCATACATAATTTAAAATTATTGTAATATATTTTTATATAATATATTATTTATTAATTATGATATTATTTATTATGTGATATAATTGTTTATTATATTCATATAACGTAAAATAAATATATGAAATTTATAACGAAATGTACGATCGATCGAGAATCATATTATAAATAAGGAACATGGCGGTTTCTTTTTTACTAATATCAAAGTAGGTGTAGTCGTAAATGAAATTAGAGATAATCATTAAATTTTTCTTGAATGAACAAAAATTTAATAATAAATATAATCTGATGTGTTTTTTTCAATAAAATAAATTTAAATAAGAATATATATTATTTGTGGTAAGTTTAATGTATATTAGTGTCGTATAATAAAATATTTTCACTTTAGTAGCGATGTATCTGAAAAATTAATGCAATAAATCTTTTTTGCAAAATATTAGACATTTAACACAATTATAAAGATAAATCATTCTGCAGCTCAGAAAATGGTAAAGTTATATGCGTTGTCAGTTTTATACAAAAATCCTACGTCAGCGACAACATTGAAAGCTGCTTATGACGTAGATAGATTTTCGTTTTTTCAAAGAGGAAGCGTAAAGGAATTTATGACATTTATAAGTAAAACTATTGTGGAAAGAACTCAGAATTGCTCTAGACAGAGTGTAAAAGAAGGAGGTATTTGTGAAAACATCAAATCTTATATGGAATGTTTAAAATTTTTTGATTGTATTGTTTTGCAGATTATATGTGTCATGTATTTGTACGAGCAGATAATCTTGCTGCAGTACTTATATCAGATCATGAATATCCTAGAAGAGTAGCTCATACATTAATTACAAAAGTTATGGATGAATTTGCATCCAAATATCCACAATCTACATGGGATACATTAAATGAAGTTATGACTGATTTTGCGCAGATTAATGTATATTTAGCCAAATATCAAAATCCTAATGAAGCTGATGCTCTCACTAAAATGCAAAATGATTTAGATGAGACAAAAATCATTTTAGTAAGTATAAATCTTAAAGTTAATAATAAAGATATATTTTTTAAATTAATTTAATTAAAATCTATTAAATTTAATTTATTTTTTATGCATTTAGCATAATACATTAGAAGCTGTTCTTAAAAGAGGTGAGAATTTGGATGATTTGGTTTCTAAATCACAAGGGCTTAGTGCTCAATCAAAAGCATTTTATAAAACTGCACGTAAAACTAATTCTTGTTGCAGTTTAGCCCCTTAAAATTTTTGTTATTAAATATACTGATATGTTTCAGTGAATATTATTATAATTTTGTAATTTTAACTCAAAGTGCAAATGAATTAGTATCATAAAAATTTTATTAAAAGGAATAATTTCTAAATTGTATATGTAATTAGCATCATGTGGCAAAATTCAATATTTTGTGTATAAATTTATTGTATATAAGATATATGTATTAATGCACTTAAATGGTGTACCAGGTTACTGCCAGACTCATTCAATTGATTTCAAATTCAATACTTTTTATTGATTCATAATTATTTTTTTTTTCTTTATAAAAACTTGGTTGTAAAAAATTGGTATAGTTTATAGTTAATAGTTTGTGCATAGAAATATTTTGATTTTTATTTTATTTATATATTGACAAAATTCAAAGGAACATTGTAAAATAAAATTAGTACTTCATTATTGAAAAATAAGTATATAATATAAATATAATTGTTATGTTTATTTAAATGAAGTGATAATGAATTTTATAATGAATTTCTTTATTATTAAAAAATGAAGAAAGATAGTTTTGTAAACAATTATATTAATTTTTATTTACAACATAATATATTATAATAGTGAATGAAGAATATTTTTGCTATTAAGAGTTTGTTTTTTTCTTATTCCTTGATGTCTTTTATGTTTTTTTTTAATAAATACTAAGTAAATTTCATAAAATTAAATTGTTTAATACGATTAATATAAATTAAAAAATTGAAATTAAATTATAATATTGAATATAATTCTATAATTCATTGCTAAAGCATATAAAAATGAAATTGAATATTTTTAAATTAGTTCATAATTTTTATAAATTAATCTATCTGTATGTATATAAATTTTATTAGTTTTAAAGATAAAAATTCTAATTTATAATAATTTTAGTTAAATATATATTTATATGCGCACATATATGCATAGACAATTATACATATATATATATTTATTTATGTAATTTTGAAAATATATTTATATTTTTAATATGTTTGTTTTCTGATATAAAAATAAAATAATATTAAATATAGGCCTTCATATAACATGATATTTTTGCAATATTATTTTGTTCTAATACAATCAAAAAATTGAAAAACTTTATATAGTATATTTCCATCTAATACAATTAAATCTTTTTTAATATATACAATAAATAGATCATATAAACTATAATAATTCTAATAAATATGATTATTAAAACAAAATGATAATTTCATTAATTTTTAAAATCTGTTCTTATTTTTTTTTTCTAAATTAGTAATTTTTAATCTTATATAATATAATATTTTTTAAAACATTAGAATTGCTTATATTTTATTATGTTATTCAAATAGTCATGAAAAGAAACTGCAAACAGAATTATATCTAATTTATATACTATAATACTAATTTTCTTTATTATATTAATTTTGACATCTATAAAGATCTATATTACAAATAATTTTTACTATTCTAATTTAAATAAATCGCAATTTACAAAATCACGAGATGTTCGGCGATAAATAGAAAAAAATGGAGAGTCTTTTTTTGTAATCCATGGAATCTTATCATAATATGGATTATATCCAGCTTGATATTTCTCTGAATTAACCTGAAATATTATATAAAATTTTTATTATCTATACAAAAATTAATAATTTAATAAATTAGTTAATTATATACAAGATAGCATATTGATATATACTTACTGATTCAAGTATTTTCTCTTGAATTTCTTTTTCATCATTTATAAGATACATATCAGTAGCAACAATAGGTTCTGTCTTCTGATTCATATAATCGAATATGTATTTCTTATTTTGATACATCTCCAAAAAATTAATTAATTGATCAGTATCAACAAATACCCAATCTTTAAGTTTTTCTTTATATTGATCTTCTTCAAAATCTAAAGTTTCAATGTCTTGAATTATATCTATATTATTGCCTTCTTTTGACCAATCATAGATCAATATATGTGAGTGTGATGATAGCCAAGACAAACATTTTTCTTTAGTTGAATTTTCTAAATCCGTTAAATATTTTGTTGTTAAAACTTTGGAGTTAATTTCATCCACATTACCTCGTTTTTTTATTTTTTCCTATATATAATACATTCAATTAATATATTTGTATAGTTAATCTAAATTAACAATTTTTTTGAAAATAAAAAAAATAAACTTACTAGAATGATTTCTGGAGATGCATCCAAATATATAACTAAGTGTGGTCTTAAAAGAAATTTGAATGAGTTTTTTCTCATCATTTCAAATTCTTTCACAGTTAAATCACTAAGATATCCAGCTTTATGCATAGCATTCATAAAAGCATATTCTGTAAAAATGGATCGATTGAGTACTACGCCTTGTCCAGTTGCTAATATATGAACAAGTGCATTCAAATATTGTTCAAATCTCATATTAAAAAATCCTAATTGGATGGTTGCTGTTCTATAATGATAAGGATTTCTTAGGAAATCTTTTAAATCATAAAAACGACATGATTCTGGTAATTGAGGATTTAGATTACGAAGATCAAATCCATAATAATTTATAAATATTTCATCATGTGTTGGTGCTGGCATATATAAAAATCCAAAATCTTTTGCTATTTGTTCACAAAGTTTAGTTTTTCCTACTGCAGGAGGTCCATCTACAATTATTAATTTGGTATTATCATCATATCTAAGAGTTGTTGGATCCAATATCATATTGACTTCATTGCATATCTTTTTCCAATAAGGATATGGAGCTGGTTTAGGTATATATTCTTTAAACGCAATTCTTTTTATAAATGCCACTTGTATTATATTGTAATTCTTTGATATCTATAATATATAAATTTAATAATAAAAGATATTTAAATTAAAAAATATTCTTTAAGAAATTATTTTATTTTATTTATTTATTATATTTATTACGATTCATAAATATTCGATAAATATATAAATAATTTTGATAATATCTAATTATTTCTAAATATTATTTTATTGTTAATAAAAAATATTGTTAAATATTATTTTTATTGTTTTTCTAATAATATAATTATTAAAAGTACTAACCTTACATAATCGAGTTAAGTATCCGATAGAATTGTTTTTTACAATTCTAACAGAAAATATCGATGTCATTTTATTGAAATCAATATTATTTCAGTAAAAGATATTCATATATAATTAATTATATGCAACAAAATTAATATTCTTTTTATTATTAATTTTTTATCTCAAACTCAACAATACAATTCAACATTGTTGAGATATTCTGATTGTTCAGTGGTACTCATTTGAATATATTCTGTATTATTATTTTTAAATTATAGATATAGATTTATTTCTAATATTGATCTACAAATTTGAATTTTTATAAATATAATCATAGAAATGCAACTAAAATATAAAAAAATTTTTTCCGTTTTTTAAGCATTATAATATGTATTTTGTTTCGCTATATTCTATATGATTTATATTTAATAGATTTTTGGACATTTAAATACATAGACATTCGTAATCTAATAATTATAAAATTAGTTTTAAATAAAATTATATTTTAAAATAATTACAACATTTAAAAAAAATTTTGTATTACAATTCAATAATTAAAAATAATTGATATCAATATAATGAAATATTTTAATAATCACATTTACAATATTTTATATTGATATTGAAAATAAGAAAAAAAATATTTTTTTGTTTTTAGAAAATAAAAGTTAACAAAAAAAGTTAAAAATTATATAAATATATATAATCGAATACAAAAATTTTGAATTTACCTCTTATAATAATTTCTTTAATTTTCCGCCGAATGGAGCTAGTATCACAGTTATATTACGTTCGCAAACAAATAGAATTATTTGCAATGAAATTGAAATATTGAATTGTTTTAATCACTAATTAATTAAGTACAATAAACGCGAAAAATATTGTTATTCTTGAGTGATAAATACCAAAATAAATCCTATTTCTTTAATGAATAAAGAAAAGAAAAAATCGTTCAATACATTTTAAGTAATAAAAGATGTGAATTCAACAAAAAATATAAACGAAATTTGTATGGCGGAGGGGAGAGTTAAAACAACGAAGAAAGAGAGAAGTTTTGTAACTTCGGACCACCATTCAGTCGAACAAAGTGGCAGACGCTTGCGTCTCATGATAAGGAAAGGACCTCCGAGTGTACCGTGCTGCGTCATCGTAGAATGGGTGAGTACCACGATATGCAACTGACGAACTTGCTTATATAAATAATAATCTATTTGAAGCATACAAGGCGTGTCTTTCAAAGAAATAAAACGATTTATTCTAACTTTTATTTTTCATTCTTCTATTTTTCGTAGTCCATATATATATATATATATATATATATATAAGAAATGACTTATAAAGAACTGATGTTCGAGCAACGCGCGGTGACTTTCGGTACTTCGATTAACTAATCTATCAGGGAAAATTATAAGACTATGGTGCACACGTTACACACCGAGATCGTTGTCGCGTGCCTGGAATTTTGTACTCTCCCCACTCTGGTTTGCTTCTATTATTTTCTATTTTCCACCATTATGTGTATTTCATACTTTCTTTCTGTATAGAAACTTCGAGTTGTTCCGTATTTTTTTAGTGCTTTGGATAAAAACTTGTTTGCTTGATGCTGTTGGGATATTATTGGTGATAGACAATGTATGTTTATATAATAGCTGCATTTAAAAATGATGGTTTGTGTTTGATAACAATAAATTTAATGACAGCAAAAACAAGATTTTTATTCTTTCATCATTCAAGAATTTAAGAAATTTTTTATTTTGAAATATAAGTGAAATGAATTAATTGTGATTTAATGATCAATTTATCAACGAGAATTTGTTTTGATTTTTAAAATAATATTTAATTGAGTTAGATAGTAGTAAGGATTGCTTTTGTTTTTAGTTCTGTAAATAAATTTAAAAGTTTCATAAATTTTTATAATAACTTTAATATGAATATTAATTTTAGTATAATAATAATTACTATAATAATTATTATAATAATTTTTATAGTAATTTATTGTAATAATATTTATGCTCTATAGAATTATTTAATAGATATTAATAGTGTTTACATATATTTCTTTCATTTATTTAAAGACACACAAGGGGGAATGTCCCGTAACACTGGACCTGGTTTGTATGAATTCCTTATGGAAGCAGAACTCCAACAGTATTATCCTGGAATTCGAGGTTTGCAGTTTTATTGAAGTTAAAATTTAAAATTTTTAAAAATTGAAAATAATTTATTGTATTCATTTAGGGGACTTGAAAGTACAGACAACTGCTCAATTGAAATATGTAACAGAAGATGATTTAAATGCGATTGGAATGAGTAAACCAGAAATGCGTCGTTTAAAGAAATATTTTCAAAAACATTTTCCACAAAATTATTTATCTAAATTCAAAAAGATGTTACTACCAAAACGGGAAGAACCAACTACAGGTGCTTTAACTATGTTGCCAGAAGAAAGGCAAGATAGACCACCGATTCGTGTTCCTAATAAACATATGATACCAGCAGATGCAATTATTGTGAACAAAGAATTAGGAACAGGAGAATTTGGAGTTGTTCAACAAGGTGTTTGGACAAACGATGGTGAAAGAATACAAGTAGCAATTAAGTGTTTATCACGAGAAAGAATGCAGAATAATCCGATAGAGTTTTTAAAAGAAGCAGCCATAATGTATGCAATAGATCATGAACATATTGTAAGATTGTATGGTGTAGTTTTAGATACAAATTCTTTGATGCTTGTCACAGAATTAGCACCTCTGAGATCATTATTAGAATGTTTGAAAGAACCAAGTTTACGTAGCAGTTTTCCTGTACTTTCATTATGTGATTTTTCTGTACAAATCGCAGATGGAATGCAATATTTAGAGGCAAAGCGATTAATACACAGAGATCTTGCTGCTCGGAATATTTTAGTATTTTCTAAAAACAAAGTCAAAATATCTGATTTCGGATTATCTCGTGCTTTAGGAGTTGGAAAAGATTATTATCAAACAAATTTCAATGTAAATTTGAAATTACCAATAGCATGGTGTGCTCCAGAATGTATATCATATTTAAAATTTACTTCTGCTAGTGATGTATGGGCCTATGGAGTAACTTTATGGGAAATGTTTAGTTATGGTTTTCAACCATGGGCAGCATTAACAGGTCATCAAATTTTAGAAGCGATAGATGATCCTAATTTTCAAAGATTAGAACAACCAGAATGTTGCCCAAAAGAATATTTTTCACTCATGCAACAGTGTTGGCAACATGAACCATCTAAACGCCCCAAATTTTCTGAATTAATTAATCTTTTACCTGATTTGAAGCCAGAACAAGTTCAAGCTGTTCAAGATAGCATGGAAACAAATCAGCTTGTTTACAGACAAGGAGATGTTATTACTGTTCTTGATAAAGGAAGTAGTAACACATTATGGAAAGGTGTTCTAAATAATGGAAAAACTGGCTTTTTTAATCCTGCTCATACAATAGCATATCTTGGATCTAATTTACCAAGTAATAAACCAGGTGAATTTACACGTGGTGATGGCAAAAACACATTTTCTTCTCAAAGACGAAAGATTCGTACGGATATGATTTCATCTCCACAAGGTGATTTGAAACACACTGGTCATGTTGGATTAGATGGAGCTTATTTTGGTGATATCGGTTTTCTCGGCGGAAAATATTCACATTTACCACGACAAGTGGTTCCACCATATAAACCACAAGAAGATGTAACGGATAATTCTAGTCAAGCTTCGAGCCAGGAAACAAGAAGCGCGGATACAAATAGAGAATTATTGAGAGATTATAGGAATACACAACAGGATGTTCAAAATAAACATGGTATACATATCTATTTTATAACATATTTATTTTAAAATAATATTCTTTTATAAACTTTAAGATTATTAATGAATTCTTTAATATTATTGAATATATTTTTTTTTTATTAGAAAGTTTGTGGTCAGATGTAAATGAAGTGTGCCATACTGCTAATTCAAATAAACAATCTATTCCATTAAATATGGCTAGTAATAATGATCTTGGAGCAGATCATGAATATCATGAAATAAGTGATGAAGAAAATCAAGATAGTCCATTAAGATTTGATAAAACATTAAATTTTGATTTTGGTCCAAGTTTATTGGCTGAAATGGATCAAATGTTTAGATCACTAGGTAAATTTAATAATGATATGACTTAAAAGATTATGAAGAATTATTAATATATATATATATATATATATATATATATATATATATTATATATATAATTTTATATATTAATTTTTAATAATATACATTTTTTTTTAATTAGGATCTTCTCCTCCTCCACCACCTCCAATTCATCCTTTATCAACTGAACATGAAACAAGTAATGTTCGAAATGAACTGAGAGAAATACAAGCAAAGCAGAGCAATAAAAAAAAGCAAGCCACCGTGAGTCCAATAAATGTACAGTAATTTTTTTGTTTTATTTATTATTATGCTTTTTTATATTATTAATTTATCATTTATTTTTTATTTATTATTTGGTGCTATGTATCATTAATCTTTTATATATATATTATTTGCATGTTGAAGCATAAAACCCTAAATTTTTAGTATTCAAAAAAAAATAGAAATAATAAATATAAGAAAAACATATACATATACATTTATATATAATATATGATATATTAACATTAAATTGAAAAAAATAAAAAAATTGTTATATATTTTGCATTTACCAGATATGGTAAACATTTATTTCTTATATATTTAGGTGAAGCCTATCTCAGCTGCCGATCAGAAAACTCTCTACTCAGCCATTGCTATGGCACAGGAATTGACAGCACGTTCCATGACAGACCTTGAACATCCACCGGAGTCTCCCCGAACACCTGCCAGTCCTTCAAGACGCAGAAAGTTCTCTTTTAAGTTGCCACATCAACACAGTCCCAAACCAGACAGACGACACTTTTCAGAAGAAGCTGCCAGTATACCTGACATACAGGTACATTAAACATATTTTCGTTTGTTCATCAAACTACTAAAAGATACACATAATCAAAACACAATTTAATATTGTACCTTAAAAAATATTAATTCAATTTATTTTGTACCAAAATTAACAAGCAATATACAAAAACAATCAGTTCCTACAAACATAACATTATTTATTTCAACACGAACATAAATGATGTAATTCATACATTTCAAACGTCTTTTTTGATAAAAATATTTTTGAAATATCTTTTAAATCCATTTTTGTTGAAACTGTTATGGAACAGAGTTAATTCCTGATGCCACACAAAAGAGTAGGTATATTGTAATTGTATATGTTCTTAATATTCCAACCTAATTTATTTAATTGAGTATTAAGATAAAATACTTAATTTACAAGAAAGACTAATCTTGACTTTCCTCTAATCCTTTCCTGTCTGTTTATTTTTTGTTTGTTTTTGAATTTTTTAATTTTTTATTATTTGTTTTTCATTTTTTATTATATTGCCATAATTAAATATTCTTTCATTTCTATGTATTATATGCAATCATTTGTCAAACTTCTTATCTAATACAATATGCTTTGCTTTCAATTACGATATTTTTGTCTATGCCTTTTGTCATTGCTTATTATTTAATTTTCCTAATTGCATGATTATTTGAAAATTGATGATCAATATTGATCAATAAAGTGGTTGTGTTCAAGTTTGCAATCATTATCATCCACTGTATCAAGCATAGAATCACTTGGAGCACCATCTACTTTGAAATTACCATTATGGGACAAAGCATCTGCCGAATTTTGTTTCGCTAAGTCTCGTGAACTTCTAACTAAACCCACTGCATGGACTTCTTATATGGATATAGAATTCGATGCACATATCCTTGATAATGCAGTTATGAAACAAAATCTCGTGAAGTCAACGGAATTCTTGGAAAATGGTAACAAAAAGAGTAATTTCAATTGTGAAAGTATAACAGATATAAGTGGAAAACAAAATGTTCTTCAACAAAATGGAAAAGTATCTACTCTCAATATAGAAAATTCAAATTTCGATTTTTCTCGAGAACAAAAAAGAGTATCCACTAGTTATGTGGATCGTTATTTTGAACAATCAAAATATTTCGACGATGATAGTATTATAACAGGTCCTAATGAAAAAGTATCATATTTCGGCGATGATAAATACGATAAGATTAATAATTTAGAACAACCAAGTAAATCTGGATGTTATTCGAACATTCAGGATCAAGGATCTATTGCTGTGAATAAACATAACCAACAGATATCAGGCAAATTTGTTAATTGCGATCAATCATTGAAGGATAATGTAAATTTTGAAATACAATGCGAAGAAACTACTGGTTTTGATTTGATGAAAGAAAAATCTTCAAATTTTGTTGACTTTACATGTAATAAGTCTATTAAATTTGATTTACCCAGAGATAAGGTAATTAACATAGACCTCGGTACAAAACCGAAGATTTCTAGTTCTTTTAGTGATTCTTCTAAAATGAATATACCTGAATTTCCTAAGAAAATTGACATATCAAAGATGAGAGGTGGGAAAGTACCATTTGTACCAAGAAATCCAAGTCAAGAAAGTAAAGGTATCATTTTTGGATCTACAGATAGTATAAAAACAAATTTAAAAATGGGAGGATCAGACAGTCCTAGAGGAAATATGGAAGCTATGAGAATCAATATTCAAAGTTTCCGTAAAATAGAACAAAATCAAAATGGTCATGAGGCTTTTCCTTTTGTTATATCCAATAATCCTCTATTCATTGCAGAATCTGAAAAAAAAGAATCTCCCGTTTATAGTAGTTCTGAAAGTTTACGAGTTAATTTCCAACGACTTAGAAGAAAATCTGATGCAGAAGTAAATAATCAAATAGAATTGAGTAGCAAACTTCTGGCAGAGAAATATCAAAAAGAAGTATCAGGTTTGGAGAGTGTAAAGAATTATTTAGATTCAAAGAAAGGCCAAGGATTGAATTTAGGTCTGGGTAAATTGACACAGAATATGATTCAATTAGGAAAGAATATCGCGCAAAATTCAAGAAATATAGAAAGTACTACCACCAAATCATTGGTTACCAGTGTAAGGAATTTGGATATATCTGGTCAAACTCAAACATCTCTGAGAAGTCTAAATATACAAAAACCTAAACATTTAGATTTGAATATTCCTCTCCAATGTCAATCACAGACCAGTATAAAATTGAATCTGACTTCACAAAAAACGAATCCTCCATCTAGTCCCAGTCTACACCAACATATTTTAGAACCACCAAAATTGTATCAGAATGACAATACTAGAAAAGAACTATCTAAGACTGATACACTTTTAGAAAAAATGTCTACAGCTACCAATATATATAGACATAGAACGTCTTCCCTATCAGAGAATAGAAAACCACCTCTTAAAAATATAAGGAGATCTTTTCATCCTATTAATGATTCTAGTGAAGATTCAGATTCTATATCTCATTCGGAAACAGACATACGGAGCCGTTTGCGTTATAAGCGTCGTCATAAAAAACTTCCGCATAATCTACGATTAAATTTCAAGAATAAAGGTCATTTTTTGCATCCGGAAGCGGCTAGAGGATTTTCATCGATAGAACTTTGCGGAAAATCTCCGCCTCCATCGACCAGCTTTTTAAATTCTCTATCACCGCCTTTTTCTTCTAGAAATAATTTACTTTCTTGGCCAGAAAGTGCGCCCAGTTCTAGTCTGACATTTACTAGCAATTCTGATTTGGATTCTGACACTAGTTCAGAATACCCAGAATTCACAAATGACATATTGACTTTTCCACCATCCCCAGCCCCATAAATAATCTATAATGCTTTAGATTTGGTCTTAAAGCCTGATATCTATAATGTGTCATCATTGATATGCCAAATGCATGTTTTTGGCAAAAATATGTAGGACAATGCCAGAGTTGGGCAGAAATATTTTATTTTTTTTTAGATTAAATTCCATTGAACGTTTATACTTGATTATATTATAATATCATAATTAATTATTGATATTAAGGATGATGTTAAAATGCAAATATATTTAAAAATAAAATTCTTGATAGTAATTCGTGAAAGTTTTGAATGAATTCACATTAAAAAATTTTCTATGTTATAAGACAATGGCTTTTTCAATAGAATAATTTTCATAAGAAATCCTCAAATAGATATTAATATATTTGTGAGATAGGATTGATTCTAAAGACCAAAAAAAAAAAAGACAAGTTGATATACAAAAATATCGATTGATATTTATTTATTATAAATTATTATGTTAGATGAAGCAAGACAAAGATAGAGCGAGCCGTATGACGAAGATAAAGCTTATTTTCTACCTTCATAAAGTTACAAATAATTGAAATAATTAAAATGAGAAAAATGGCTCTATCTGTGTTACATGTATGACAGAAATTAATATCACATTATTATATACTAACTTTTATTTTGACTTCTAGAATTAATTCTCCAAAAGAGTCCCATGAATTATATATTAATATCTTATATATATATATTTAAAAATGAAAATATAATTCTTAATAAATGATATATTATGGATATGAAAGAAATGCAATTAGAGTTGCTGTTTTTTTTATTAAAATCTTTGCTATGGTCATTAAATGAAATGATTATTGCTCAATTATAATTAATAGCAAATATGATGAATTAAATTTTATTTTAAAGATTTTCTTGGAGATCATGTAGATTATATAAATCGAAAATAATACCCAACTCTGGACAATATACAGTGTACTTAAACGAAAAACTGTTCTGAAACAGTTCTTCAATCACATACGCTTAGCATGCTTGCATGTTACATAATAATAATTAAATAATAATATCTAGTCGATAATATGTTTGGATACATTTACACGTTTATACTATTTGTACTTGAAAGGAAATTTTAATGGGAATATGTTAATCATTGAATCACATATATCAACATACGAATCTTTAACTTTAATATTAATACTTTGTCTTATGTACATGTATAAGGAAATACATTGCATTTATTCCGTTTAAGATAATATTTTTAATCGGTCTATATCGAATATATATTTTATAATTTGTTCACCTTTTTTTGGTATATTGATTTGCATCATGAGGCATAAAGAGTGTGTTTATTATTTTTCCACGTGCTTGTGATTTACTTTCAATTAGAGAGGATCCAAGTTTCTGTATATGCTCTCAGAAGTCATTTTTTCATATTTTAAATTATAGTCACTCTCTCTGTCTCTCTCTGTCTCTCTCTCTCTCTCTCTCTCTCTCTCTCTCTCTCTCTCTCTCGCTCTCTCTTGCTATCTTTCCTTTTATTTGTTATTTTCGTTCTTTAATTTCTGTTTCTCTTTCCCAAATCTATCCCCTCCCACGACTTGTTTAGGCTACGTTGTCGGATGAAGCCAAGGAAGTATACAACAGCCTTGTGGAGACGCCCAGCATAGAAACCTCCCCGGATACAAATCCATTGCGCATGCTACGTTCAGGCTTACCCATTGTCAGACCCAGAATTCGTGGAAATAAACATGCCACTCTGGGTCATCCAGTGTCTCATCAAGATGATTTGGCTGCCGATCATTTTCATTTTGATGCCTATCACAGTGGTTCCAAGACACTGCCAAAAATAAGAGCGCCGCCACCACCACATGCACCGCCGCCCATACCTCATTCCCGTCATCTAGAGAGACATCATTCTACTCAGGAAATAGAAAACAATCAAAACCAGAATAATGTAGACGAGAATCCTATACCGTTGCCACCTAGAGACAGATCTAAAACGCTGCAACCAAAATCTAGTTTACCCAGGCATCAGAGAAAGCATCCTTTGATTATACCAGGTGGTGGTGTAACTAGAACTTTGGCCAAAATGGCAGTCACTACACCGCCTATCGAGGATCAGGTAGATGGAAGTATGCAGAGTACGAGTTCTTCCATAGCCAGTAGTTTATTACATGAAGGATATTCATCAGAAAATTCAACTAATAGGTTAGAATCTTTTTTACTATAATTTATATTATATTACTATAATTTCAAGATTAATTAATTGGATGCTAACAAGTTTTTCTTTTTCAGTCCAGAAGAATTTGAACAGCGTATAGACTCTGAATTTGCTGCATTGGACTCGTTATCGGCAGACGAAAATAGATTGCACCGCTTCAGTGTGATCTCTGAAGACCTACTTGAATTTTCTGACAATTTGATTGATTGTGATACATCAGATTATCGACAAAATACACAGGAAATTAGTGATGTACAATCTATTGATTCTTCAACAGAACGACTCCAGAGAAAAATTAGCATTGAATCAAAGACTTCTCTCAGAAGTAATACTTCGAAATATGTTCAAGAAAATGAAATAGGTGAAGCAAATAGAAACTCTACTCCATCAGATACGAATAAATCTGAAGATTCAATGATCTCTCTCAAAAGTGATCTCACGCCAAGTAAACTTCAAATATGTAAAAGAACATTATTAATTCAAAAACCTTCAAACTATATGATGCAGTTCAATTATGGAGAATATTCAGAAAACAATTCACAGTCACGATGTGATACAAACAAACAGCAGACGGAAATCTTAAAAGAATCCTCTATTACTGATTCAAATGATAGTTTTCATTCTACAGGTTTAACTAACTACAATAGATTGTCTAATGAAAAATTATCTAGACATACAAGTGATCTTTCGCGACAATCTGATCATGTCTCTTGTGAGGATTTATTGGAATTCGCTTGTGATGGACCAAATGCAAGAAGAACACGTGGTCCTCGAAATGGAGAACAGTCTGATGAAGTTAGAATCATGATGAAAGTATTGCACGAGCAGTCCACTCCAGAATCATGCATAGCTGCATTAAATGTCACTGATTGGGATGTATTGGCTGCAATTAAGCTAGAACGTCTTCAAGGTTTACTTAAAAAAGAAAACAACTTCGTTGGTCTGGAAGATTGCAAAGTAATGTTAAATCAATGTGGCGGCGATGTCGTAAAGGCGGCTGCACTATTGAGAAATACTGATGATACTGCTGCAGTTTAATTAATCATTTTTATAACAATTGGCAGATCTATATGGCATGGAACACTTAAAGGGGTTAAGTTTGAGTAACATTTTCGAAGTCAAAATGTTTTTTCCTTTTGTGTCCGCACGTAGACGAATTTACGCAACATTTATTTATTATTTTAGAATTAGTTAGAGTGAGATTATAGTATTATATAACACATTGTTGTTGCCTAAGCACTTCGATAGAGCTTCTGCAAAGGAGTAACGTATGATTGCTTATCTAGAAATAAAATAACTAATTAGTTTTAGAAACATATTGAAAAGAATGTTCAAATAAAATAAATTTTATTTTTTTTTCAATAATTTAGAATCACATACAATAAATTATAATAGTTCAGAATATTAAATATAGAATTATTCATTTTTCAATTTTTAATATTTATTTAAATATTAAAAATTTTAATATTTATTTAATAATTTATTCGGAAAATTTTATGTAACAATTTTATTTGTTTTAAATATTTTAATATCTTTCAAATTAAATATTTTCTTTCTAGTGAGGCAAACTTACGTATATATAAAATAACAGTTTTTTTATTTAATTTTTTCAGTGAAAAAAAGATAAAATTACATTTTTCCCTCTTCCTTTAATACGAACTTAATGTGATAATTTGCACAATAAATCGTTGATCAATTTTTTGTGATCGGATAAATCATACGTAGTAGAAACATAACTGAATATATGCGTATATATATCTTTAGTTAGACAAATGTTTAAGAAAAAGTATTATCAAAATCTATGATTAAACAGTAAATTAATTCTTGTACTGCATAAATTATCTCATTTCTTGTTTGTTATATTTTCATTTCTTATTTAGAAAATTGCATGAAAAATTGCATATTTTGTACAAGATAATTTTTTATTATCATTTGATAAAAAATTTTATAAGAAATCTAACTTATAAATTGAATATCTGGAAATTATTTATTCTCTCTATACATTTTCATTGTTTAAAACAAAAAAATAAAAAGGAGAGAAAAATATTTTTATTATTAAAAACAAGATTTGATTCCAAAGATAATATTCGCACGGTATTATTATTTGGGTATCATATGCACTATAGATTAATATTCAATCATATTCATTGCATATTAAATTTTTATAATTAGTCACTTCAAGAAAAAGATATTTGTTTGTATCAATGGTGACTAATGAAATACTATACATTGTTCAATAGAAGTTCTCTGAAGGCAATATGTATTTGATTAATTATTTATGATAGAGCAAATATAAAAATAGATATTGGCCAAAAATTTCTACAAATGAAACATACATCTTGTGATGGTGAATGAGAAAACAAATTCTTGTGCCATTTCATAGAACTTCTTAGTGTAATACTTATATTATATATCATTTTATATTAAATGCGAGTTTATCAATAAGTATATTGATAAATCTTAAATACGTCCTGTATGCGTAATAATCGCTGAAAATCAGCACAAATGGGAGAGAGAACGAGAGTGAAAGAGAGATTAGAAAAAACTGCTTATTATAAAGATTTAACATTTAAATTCTTAAATGGAGAATTTTTTAACAATGCAGAACTTTTTTTATCTCGTACAGGGATGGGAATAGGGGAATGTATTTTGACCCGGTAATAGGGTACGATAAGCACCAAATATTACGTACGGAATCTTTGTGTTCAATAAGATTGATTTTTATATTTTGCTAGAGAGAGTTTTCGTGTTAATTTTATTAAGTTATAAGAGATATTTAATTCGATTTGATTAGAGATGAATAGCATAAAAGAGAAAATATTGTTAATGAACGTACATAAAAATATGAATTAAATTCATGATACATTTAGTTAACAATTTGTATAGCGGAAATTTTTTTATTATGATTTTTACTTATGTCTCAGGTAAAATAAGTTTTGTTTTTTTTCATATAGTATTTCGAAAGTTTTGCAAATCTTAATTCGAATTTCTATAATGATTTGTAGCTATATATAATAATATATAAGTTGGTATTAGATTTGGATTGCATTATTTTCGAAGTACTGAAAATATTTGGAAATGTTCAATAGTTTGACGAGTTGAATAACATCCGAAACTGACTTTGGCTAGAGCAAACTGCTTAATCGAGATATATTTTTTCATATATCTTTTTTGTACGAAAATTTTTTCTATAAATGCTTTTTTTGGTAGTTTTGCTATAGTTCAAGTGAGTTCGGGAAAGAAATTTGCTCATTGTAATTTTGTGTAATTGACTAATAACATAATGTTTTATTATAAGAAAAGTGTTAAACAAAAAAAAAAAAAAAAAAAATGAAAGGACAATGTCTTATAAAATTAATTATGAGCGATTGAAAGTCTTTGCCGACCGTACTTCTATCTCTTAACAAAGCCAAATAGGAGCTTACGAAAATCGCCTAAATAATATTACTTAGTTTCTTTTTATAATAATATTGAACAATAAGGTTTTCGGTTCCTGAATAAAAATACGCGTATCGTATCGTATGTATTTTTTTATGTTGAATTTATATTTGTTCTATCATGTATTGGCTCTAAGAATATATATATAAGGTTAGGAAATAGTAATACTAACCTGTTATGAACTAAAGAATTGAAAAAAATCAAAGTATTAGGGCATTAATATTAAGAACGTAGAGAATGAAAATACACTGTTCAAAATAGTCAGAAAATATTTCTTGAATAATAAAAAAGTATAAACTAACCTCTAATCTAGATAATTATAACTGCAACAGTATTTATATCTTGAGTAAATTAATTAACTTTTATGGTATTGAAAAATGATTAACTATTAAGTGATATTTCAATCATATTGTTTAATTAAATTGTTTAATATCTTAGTGATTCATGAATAGTGACTCAAACAAGAAGTCTTATCTACTGATTTACCTTGAATAGTGTGAAATATACAAATATACAAATGAAATATACAAATGACAAGCGAAATGAAAAAATTTTCTTGAGCCAACACATAAATCAAATGAAGATCTACAAAACATAATAATGTTCAGTATAAAGAGATCAATTATTTTTGTGCAGGAACCACAATATGGAATAATTAGATTTAGCCAATTAGTAAATGTATCAATATCAATTTTTCTGAGCCAGCGTACTTAGTCGATTCTCGTGATGAAAATTTATATAACAATTTAAAAATCATCGACAGCAGAGCTTTCGTAGGATTTTTTTGAAATGTATGATCATTTTATATGAGATCGTTACTAATAAGATCTTTATGCGCTTCCTTTATGCGGATAAATCTAATAAATCCGGCGCTCTTGAATAAAATAATTGAAATTAAATCTGCCAAAACTCGTGAAGAGGAGAATCGACGCCTCTTACGG